GGGGGGGGGGGGGGGGGCTCGCCGAGGGCACGCCACGTACATGCGCGCGGGCACTCGTGCATGGTTCGCGGCTTCCGGGACATGCAAACACAACAGCTTCGCCTATACGGTGGTGTGTACTTACAGGAGTCTAGGCTGCGATTTTGGCGTTTGGTGTGAGTGTTGGATGATTTGGGTGATTGTGTGTTGTTTGCGTTGAATAATCGCCGTGGAGTGTTGTGGCGCGTGGTAGCTGCAGAGGCTCGTGCTTTGCTTGTTGTGATGGATGACGAGACCAAAAACACGCGCTGCATGCCATGACATTTGGCCAAACGACACACGCTGCATGCCATGACATATTGCCAAACTAATGTGACGCAGGTACGCCTCGTGCGGATCGAAGTGGCATGGGCTGAGCCTCCTTGACTACGCCCTGCTCGCGGAGCTCGCGTACTTCGACCAGCATGACGACAAGGTGTGCGTGAGACCATCAGCTGAGCCGTCTGCTTTTGTGTTAAGTCTGTGCCCTGTGAGGTACGTTGGCTGGTGTGATGTTTGGTCTGTCTCTCTGTCTGTCTGTCTGTCTGTCTGTCTGTCTGTCTGCATGCCTGTTTGGCGTCTACCATCATCTAGAACACGCGCTACTTTTATACGCTGCTATGCATACACAGCAACAACAACCATGACGTATTTACAGCTATGCATCTACCGCTGCTGGACACACGGAAAAAAAACGCAAACGCTTCTTCAAGTGTGCGTGTGCGCGTGCGCGTGCATACGCGGCGGCCGGTAGTGGTGTCGGGGGTCGTTGTGTGTGTTGGCCGATGACCAATGATCATATGATAGGTCGGGTGATTCCTGGCGAAACAGGAACGAAACCGGTTTCCCGATATCGGCGGCATTTTGTGCACGCACTGCTACGGGTGTTGTTGGCTTCGCGTTCGCATGACTTGATTTCTGCTTCGGAGTGGTAACTTGTCCCGTGCCACAAGCATGAAATTGGCAGCTACTAATTGTGGTACTCATCCCACACCCCCAATCCGTTCCCAGGTGCCGTTGTCTGAGGTAGCAAATCAGTTTTTCCCACCGGGTAAGGACGGGCCCGACTTCAAGATCAAGGTGAGGTCCGCACGAAAGTATTCATGTTCTCGTTGTGATGGTTAAGCTATTAGCCGGTCGGCGTGTCGTCTCAAGCTTGGAAATGCGGCAGAGATCCCTGTTTTAGTCCCGGTGTGTGCCCAGAAAATACCACCACCACCACACTGGGCACCGGCTGTTCACGCTGTTGAAATTGCAGAACGAGTTGGTGATTCAAGGCGTGCCCGCGGAAGCCACCGGCACTGCACGGGCAACTGGCACTAGACAGGGACAGGGACCCCTATTTACTGTGCTACACGCAGAGTCAAATCCAGATGCTACCAGTTGTGCTCGCTGACGGTAGACGCTGCGTCTGTGTGGTACGATGGAGCGAAGGTGAAACAAGGGGAAGATCTCCACAGCCACGCGCAGTTCTTCGAGGCGTACTCGGCCAAGCTCAACGTTTCCGTGGTGGCCATCAGGGGCACGGACGTCGGGCGTATCTCAGACCTCATCGAGGACATCAAGGTGCGGCTCGTCACAGAATCGCTTTGTTATATTTATCATCGTTGTTGTTGTTGTTGTTGTTGTTGTTCTTCGTAGTAAAAAACGTTCCGATCGCTGCCCACTACCTGCTAACATCCGGACTGGTCCAACTGAACGCCGACTCCGCCATGCTTTTTTCCGCAAGCACATAGCAACAAGTTTTTATTGTGCTTGCCGCTAGTCACACACTATCCTTGTCTCCCGGAAGACCTACGGTCTTAGGTCACGCTGGTCACTGCTCCCACCTCAATACCGTCGCTTTTTTGATGGTTTTCACTGGAAAAGGGAACGCCTCTCATTTCGCGAAAATGTTGGTATGAGACAAGCAATCGAGGACTCCAGCGCAAAAGCTCCTAGATGGGGAATTCCCGAGGTCATCGCTGAAAGATGTCGTTTCTACAAGCATGACACGGTAGCATTGCAACCCGCTTCGTGTCTTTGTAGCAGACTTGTAGACCCTCGAGATCTCCTCAAGCAATGTAGACATATGACGATAAACACAAAAAACGTTGTTCTCACGGGCGTTCCGACACATCATTTTGGCATCTCATAGGAATTTCAGACGGATACACGTGCGTTTTCGTGGCATGCCTGGAGATACGAAAATATCTTGCTCCTATCCTTGCCCCTCGATCGATTGACGTGTTTAGCCGGCGATGTATTTTTGGATTGTAGTCTGTTTGATCACGCGGATTTTCGACTCTTTGCCCTGGAGACTGCGAACGGAGAATTTTTTGGTAGAGAGATCAGAACAGTTTTCAAGGTTAAAACGAGGACAACCAACCAGGACAACTTTTTCGAGATTTGTTTGTTGAGGTACTAGAAGAGATGCTTGACACAAGGTTCAGGGAGGATGCACGCCGAGGCTTTCGACAACATACCACACGTGTTTCGTCTTTCACCTGTGGCCATCAGAAAGCACCTCCCCGCCCCACGTCGTTGCATTGCGCGTGTGCGTGTCGTGTTGGCCTCTAACCCTCAACATGAAAGCCTTAATGTAGTTGGTGGCGCCAACACTATGCATTCACTTGGCGGTCGAGAGACACTCAGGGACGCGGTATTGCCTGCCGAGTAGCGCTCACTGTGTACCCATAAGCAGTGCCTGATGGCAGCTCCCGGAGGGAAAGAGCACGCCGGGCTCCGTCAACAGGTGCTCGGGTGATACGTGTAGGCACCAGCTGCGCTGCGGGAGTTTGTGGGTAGATCGCAACAGCGCTACCGTATGTTGCACAAGATATCACACCCCCCGGGGCGATTTTCAAAGCTTGATTACTCGGCAAGGAAAAGAAGTGACGGTGCCGAAAAGGCGGAGTTGGAACCGTCCCTTGGAGAGCTTCCCGAACACGCATCGTTTGCCTTCGGCATCCTCTTGGTCGTGGAGTAATAGAGCTTTGAACATCGGTCCAGGGGGTGTGTTATCTTACGTTTGCAATCTACGTTATGTTTGTCTCAGGAGCTCTTGTTTGTTTCACACACGCTGCTCCCATGTGTGGCACCAAACCTTTTCGCTTTCTTCCCTTTCGATTTGTGGTTTGACGCTCGGGGCGTGTTGCAAATTCTCCGCAGATCTGGGTGGAGCCGATCGTGCTCAAGGGGCTGTCCATGGTGTTCCCGACGATTAGGATATGGCCCGACTCCACCTCGTCCGTGGTGATAGAGTGGCTGCACGAGACGCTTCAGCTGTTCGGCTTACAGCAGCAGGTCAGTGGAAAACCCGTTAAATGACGTTTTGGTTTTTGCAGCGATACACCCACATAGCAATATTCAACAAAAGATGAAAAAAATACAAGGGGTGGCTCTCGCTTTTTGCTCATGAAGACGACAAAGTTCTTGCTTTCTCCATTTTTTTAAGTAAACAAAATCTCACACTAAGACTACCCTTTCGACGTGTAATTTTTTTTTTTCACAAGGCGCACTACTACCGGCCGTTGCTGGAGTACGTCCGAGCAATCGAAGGCAGGAACGTCGTTCTCACGGGGCACAGTCTTGGCGGGGGGCTCGCTCGCATCGTCGGCGCGCTGGAGAAGTGAGTTCGGAGCCGGTGTTGTTCCATCCTAGAGCGAACCGGGTGTGCAAGGACTCCTCCCGCTCACCCGTCACGCTTTTGCTGTTGGGTGTTCGATTGGCACACACACGTGGCTGAATCGACCACAGGACACCTTTTGTTGGTGTGCTTCGGGGGGGTCATGATCTGCCGTACATAACACAAGACTTTTTCCTGATGGTGGCACACGCACAAGCGCGTTGGTTGCTAAACGCCCAGAAGTCATTTTCGTCCAAGAGATATGAACGGGCGAGAGGTGGCTCAGGTGTTTCTCTCTCCCTCTCTCTCCCTTGCATCTTGAGGAGAGAGAGGCGGGAGGGAGGTCATATTCTGAGCTCTTTTGAGCTCTTTCGAACGTCGCGCCGCGCTTTTTTTTTTTCGTGCCATTTGTTGTTGTCGCGGACCCGGCCGGCAACGTCCGTATGCTTCTCGCCCCCCCCCCCCCCCCCCCCCCCCCCCCCCCCCCCCCCCCCCCCCCCCCCCCCCCCCCCCCCCCCCCCCCCCCCCCCCCCCCCCCCCCCCCCCCCCC